TATTTATATCAAAAATGATGAAAGACGTTATCCTCCAAGAGGAAAAAAATGAATTCTTGTGCTACATGATGCAGTTACATTAAATTATACGAGTTGTCCATTCAGGCGGCAATCCTGGTTTTATTTTTTTCCACTAGGTGATATTACCCACAAGTATTAAATAATTTTCTGTTCCACTTGTTAATAAATCGCTATTCCCTGTTTCAAGGCATACTGCACGACAAGAAAAAATATCAAACTTCCTTTATAAGCAGATATACTCAATGGTTGCAGTAAACTGCCCCCCGGGTATGCAATTAGAATGCTCTTTTATAAAGCAGACCATATATTGCGTACCATGCCAGCTGCACTCAATGGCAGGTCGTTAGCCAACCGTTTCAACGCTCATTATAGGCTTCTACTGCTACACGTTCGGCTTGCATTCCACTTTATTTTTCATTGAAGTGCCAAAAACACTTTATGATTGGACGAATTGACAAATATTTCTTAAATAACCTTTACCTGCAAAATTCGCAACCTGCGAAACAGCTGAAGTCTGCAGAATAGCAAATATAAGCATTTAGTTAACTGATTGAAATGGACAAAGGAGGCATTGTCACCAATGACTGATGCTGCGTTTGGTGCGAAATGATACTCATAGAAGCGTAGAAACAAAAAAACTCTCAAAAATAATTTATCCAATTCACAACATTTTGGTTGGTTATTCTTGTTCCGCCAAATGATGCAAATGAAATCCTAGTTTTGATAAATATTAATTTTTAAGCGCGAATTTCTTTTCTTTAATGGAACAGGCACGAATGCTATTGTTTCCCGTGGGCTTACACTCAGCAATAATGTACACACTAAAGACTCTAAGACAAAGCGTCAGACGCCATTAATTAGGGTATTCTGTCCTTGGCCTTGACATTCCAGACCACGACAACAGCTTTGGTTGTAGGACTCTATCTTAAAATCATATTTGAGCAATATTTGTAAGTGATACAGTGAAATTCATTCGCACGTGGAATTTTAAGCACGACAGTACAGAATAACTACAACTATTCCAACCAGTTATCAAACAATGCGTTGGTGACGAAATCATTAATCAGTTATAAGAGATGAAGGGCTAATAGTGCACAAGTGCAAGTCACTGACGGAGTAGCACCGTATCATACAATGACTTTCACCATGCACCAGTGACCAGGCGTCAAACGCGTTTTGCCAGAGAGCCTCAAACTGCTGCAAAAAGTTTTGAATGAGAAAAATCACTAGTGTTGCGTTTCTAACTGAAAGAGTGACAGATTCTGCCGCAAACAATGAAAGACAACATCCAGTGAGAATCTCTATTTTACGCACTTACGATGGAACTGTGCTGGTTCGATATGTAACATTGCGTTCGAGATTTCGAGAGTAAATCTAGCGGTGGGAAAATCCTGCAAAAGCTGCGATTGCGCCAAAACATTTGCGTATTACTTTTAAGAAGCCAGAAGCACTGAGAAATGCAAAGCGTGAGAAATTTTAAAAGATGTTCGAATTGTTGCCCTCAGAGGGGCATATTATGGTAGGTGGAAATTGATGATTATAAAATTCAGTCATAAAAGTGACATAAGCCAGTCGCTTGAATATTGAGATTAAAATAAGAATCTCTGAAGCCAAGCGTAAATTACTCTTTCATTTATTTTTCATCCACACATGTCTACCGCTTGGAACAGGGTAGAGTTTTGTTCAAGAGTCCTCAGTTGTTCAACTGTTTCTTTATCACTACAACTTTAGAACTTCTGTAGTATATAGCACAGTAAATTTATAAACAATACTATTAGTCTTATGTTCTTGATGAACTCTACCCTGCTGCAGCTAACTGTGGCCTAACATAGGTCTGAAATAAGCTGCACAAAATTAAATTGGATCATGTACTAATATTGCTCAGTCGAAAGAGCGTCGGTCTTAGAATCGATAAATCTTGCACTTGAATTTTGCTTAAGAAATTAGCATTTCTTCCTTTCGAAGCAGATATGGAAGTACAGCTTCTTGGGGAAGAAATCCGTAGACGGGACAGTATGATAACAAAGTTGTAAATTCAGCCTTAGAAAAATGGAGCAACGATGGAATTCTAATTGATATCACAGGCACAGAAATTAATGTGCAACTGTATGCTTGTAAGTTTGATGACGTAAAGAACTCTAAATAAAAAATATAACGATTAGCCTGAGATTTGGTGCTTCTTGTTCTATGGAGCAAATCCAGTTAATTTAAAAGGACAAAGTAGTTATTTTATTGGAAACTCAAAACGGCCTACTTTTCATTATACTGTACTGTTGGTAAAGTACCCTACCGAACTAGAACCTATAGCGGGAAAATCAGCTATCTTTTAGTGATTAATATATAGGTACATTAGTTTAAATGATAAAAACCTTTAAAAAAAGACTGTTACCTATGTATAAAATCGTAAAAGTTGTAAACTACGCTATTTTACGCTGCCATAGACGCTGGCGGTGTTACAAGTGAGATCTATCAAGAAAGTGAGTTTTACTTTGTTGTAAGCTTTATCGCTATTGCGTTAACTCTTTTTGCAGGTTTGTTTGGAAATTAATTATTTAGCATGCTTCTGGAAAGTACGTCAAATAATATTTTCTAACTTGTGACACCCGTCTTTTTAGATGCTCTTTTTCCTACGTGTTACAGAATTTATATGAATGCTGCTGGTGCGAGATTAATGCCCTGGAAAACGATAACCAGAATGGCGACGATTTTTCGATCAGACCAGAATCTTTTGACCGGTATCACAGAATGGGTAGTGAATGACGATGAAAATTACGACTATCGTCAAGAAATAGCCAGGTTCGTATGTTCTCCCATCCTGTGTACATGTGCTTTGTTGACTTAAAGAAAGCCTATGGCCGGATGCCGCGCAACAGTCTGTGGTCATGCCTGCGAGCATACGGGATCAGTGGTCACTTGCTACGGGCCATTCAATCGTTATATTCTGATAGTAGGTGCTGCGGGAGAGGAAATAGCATTAATTAGAAACCGTTCAACGTTGGCACTGGTCTCCTCCACCGCTCCGTTCTGTTCTTTTTCCTATTTGTGTTGTACAAGGATAGAATAGTCAAGAGCAGCCAAGACGATGAGTGTATCGGTGTAGGAGATGTGAAGACGAGAAGGTTGGCATTTGCAGACGGCCTTGTTTTATTGGCATCTTCTGAAACTGATCTACAGAACTCTTTGGAAAGGCTCATAGCAGAGTATGACGTGACCAGCAGGCGTGTGAACGCACCTAAAATGAAAAGCCTAGTGCTTTCATGTTCTGTTGCCCGCTGCACTCTTTAAATGAATGGAGAAGCAGTGGAGCAGGTGGTGAAGTTGAAGTACCTCGAAGGCGTATTTACTGATGATGGAAAATTTGTGGATGAGATCGACTGGCGGATTGGAGTAGTCAGTGATGTTCTGCTTGAACTAGCCAGACCCATTGTGACTAAAGCAGAGCTCAGTCTGAAAACTAAGCTCTCGATATTCAAGTCGATCTTTATCCCCATGCTTACCTCCGGTCATGAATCGTGGACCATCACTGAAAAACTTCGAACCCTGGTACAAGCTGCCGAAATGGGCTTTCTTAGACGAGTCGCTGGCCTTACGCGTCTCGACATGGTCCGGAAT